TGGGTTTTTTTTGGGGGGGTTTGGTATTGTTATTGTATTGGTTTTGTTTGTTTTGTTTTTTGTTTTGTTTTTTGGAGGGCCGTTGAAATTTAATAGATTCTGGAACATATAACCTGTTGAATTCCATAAGATTATTCTGATAAACGTTGCTTTCATACTCTGTATTTCATACATTGTCAGGAATTTGAAACAAAACTATCTATGAAGTAAGAGTGCTTAACGCCAGTCCTACATTCATGTTTAGGTACTTTAGGTGTCTATGCACCGAAACAATACTGACATCAGATGGCAAAGTGGGACAATGTATGTGATTTTTCGTGGCCTTTGAGAGAAAGCAGTTTGCCAATGGGCTTTCAAATACCCTCGTGCTAACTCCTAACGTTGATGGTTGACAGAGGTGGCGATAAGATTATATCACAAAAGGGTTTGTAAACATGTTGCGTACCTGCCAACTCTCACGCATCTGGCTTCAGACTCTCGCTATTGTCACGTTAAGATGTCACGATCTCAAGACAAAACTGATAAATGTCACGCCAAACTGGAACAAATGAAAAATAAAAATATACATCCGTTAAAAGTCACACAAATAGATCCAATTACATCTTTTCAGTGACTTATCTGAGAAAGGTTTTTACAATTATTCGTTGGGTTCAGGGGAGCTTGGGATTGGAAGCTCTTGTGTTTTCATGAATAGAGGTTTTATATACACCCTTTATTTGGTATTATTTTCTGTTATTATTGTCTATTCCAATAAACAAATATGAACATACTCCTGAGAGTGTTATGAACGTCAGGGTTTGTGTTTAAAATGATAGGAGCGCTGGGGTAGCCTAGTGGTTAAAGCGTTGGCTCGTCACGCCGAAGGCCCGGGTTCGATTCCCCACATGGGCACAATGTGTTTAGCCCATGTCTGGTGTCCCCCTGCCGGGTGATATTGCTGGAATATTGCTAAAAGCGGCGTAAAACTAAACTCAGTCAGTTTAAAATGATACGCCTTCGTTAAAGGTCACATGCAACGTAAAACACAACTTTGCAGATTCTGATACCTTTCGGTATGGACTTACCGAAACAAATCGTCAAAAATGCAAATTCAACTTATAAAGTTAAAAAATAACGCGATGAAAAAACCGCGCGAAATCGGAGTTCAAACGTTTCACTAATTTTCCCCCGACTTTTCTGGGGAAAACGGGTTTCAACAGCTGGGCTGCGCTCATAGCACGTGCGCAGTGAAATATAGGTTCGCGCAGCTTGGAAGCGGGTTGTCCGGTGAATACTCGGTGAAGGCGCGAGCTTTTTTATATGTTATGACAGTAAATACACTGTTTATATAATTTCATTTGTCTATTTCACCACACGTTCTTCTTACCGAGTCACTTTCTCAGTTCGATACTTAAAAGCAATGTCATTATTTAGCGTTGACACAATTTCTAACTGTGATATAGATATGTCGTTGTCACAGACAAAACTCAATGTCTTGTTTTATTGACACCTGTGTGTCTGCCTGCCTGTCTGCTAATGACAATGATCAATACACAGCTGCTATCACTGACCACATGCAATTTGAACTTAACACCAATCAGGCTATACACCATAAACAAAATGCATTGATTTATGGCCCGAGTTCGGTCTCTGTCACATTATGTAATTACACAGACAGGTAGGTGTGATACTTGAACACATGACATGTTATGATGTCTGTTGATTGCAAAATGTTATACACAAAAAATGAGCATGTATTTACAAAACCCAACATCTCTATATATACACACACAATAGCCGTGAGGACATCTGCAAATGAACCAGCCGTTACACTTGAGTGCACACCCACCCGCTCTGACTGGGTTCGGTATCCCGGCTGCTTCGTTTCTTGGGAAGTAAACCGAAGTACACAATATTGCACTTTTGATTTGCGATTGTACGCTTATAATTTTGTTTATATGTTTTTTCATAACCAGCAATGTATATTATATGTCATGAATAAGTTATAATTGTGTTTTAATTATGTTTGATTTTTTGGTTGCATGTGACCTTTAAGCATTGTCATTTTATCATGAAGCCTTGCGTTTAATAGCGTTCGTTCGTGCGTCCGTCCATCACCCCTAGGGGCCTTGGTTCGATTCCTACATTGGTACAATGTATCCAGTCCATTTTCGGCGTTTTCGGATAATGCTGAAATAACCCCACTTACTTACTCGCGTCCCCTCAAGCTATACACCATGGCAATAATGTGTCTCTGTGTCGATTTTGACACTTATAAGGAACATAATTTTTATATTGGATCCCATACCGCTTTGCTACCTCATTAACCTGGCGTCACACGATGGCCCAAATATTCAATATGGCCGACTAATTAACATTATTTCAGTTCAGTCAGGTTAATGAAACTTATGAGCACCGATGGAGGGTGGGGTAGCCTTGCGGGTATACATACAGACATGCATGCATGCATGCATACATACATAAATCCTCACGGGTCTCGCGAAGATATACATAAGAATACATAATAATCATTAATAGATTACATCTGATTCGATACCCCCAGATAGGGGGTTGAAATCAAATGAGCGTTATACACTGTCACGTGTGCTATGAAACTTTTGTTATATTTGGCGGTGTGCATTCATGAGCTATGAAGCATGCTTAATACATGGTACTTTACATTTATAAGCTATGAAACGTATGTAATACTTGGTATTGTGCATTCATGAGCTATGAGACGGGAGTAGTTGTGATTCCACGAGCTGTCAACCCAAGAGATGGTCAGGTAGTTGTTACGTCATGTACCTCACTACAGAATCATACATGCTGCTATGTTACCATGCCGACGGCCTCAACCATGAGGTAATAACACAAGATATTGCCTTTTTTGTGCACATCATTCTATATAATGTACTGATTGGAACTTGTTTTGTTAGGTGAAATCAGTAAATGGGCACACAAGATCAAATAACAATAACACTCCACCACAGAGGTTCAGGTACACAATCAAATCAATGATATATGAAACTCACATTGTATGCGGCCTCCAATTTGTTGAAAGGCCTGCTACATGATACCGAAACTGATGAGAATATGATTGACAGGTTCCTGGTTTTTCTTGAAATGACGGAGAATTTTCCGATTCCCAAACAAGACCGCATACAGAAGTTATCCAACTATATTTCATCAAACAGTTTAAGGTACACAGTCAAAGGAAACTACACAATGTGTTAGCCCTGTGATAGAACCGGGTTAGAACTGGTCGTCAGATTTCTAACCCAAAACTAATAGAATGGGGTTATTCTGTGGATCGATGCACATGTTGATAATCATTCGATTACAATGCCGACCGGTAATTCCGCGCACCTAAGTACATCGATCGCTACCCGGCAACTAACGTCTCTTATTTTTTTGTGGTTTACGTGACTAAACATGCTGGTATGCATCATATTTACCTTGAAACATAAGTTTTATTGACGACTATAAGATTCTAACGTTGCATTATGCCATACCAACGTTCTGACGACATCGCTTGCTATCCGGTAATTCTGCGCAGCAACTGATGCGCATAACATCCAGCTGGAGATCCGAGGTATGGAAGCGTATTAGGGCCAGATTATTTTCAAAAATCACTTCATCAATGTATGAAAGAGTGTTTCATATTAAATGCAATTATGAATAATGAAGAAAAAGGTTTAAAAGTCTGAAGAAAACGAATTTTCATAAAACTGTCACTTTATCTGTCAATTACTGTTATTCACTTACCTTTAGTGATTAAAAGCTAGTCCCTTGTAGAAATGTCCCCATTTCAAGCGGAAATGTGTTAGCAAACGATTTTACCTTAGATAAGGAAGTACTCTATTGCAGCTGCGCAGAATTACCAGACGCCTCGAATTACCGGACTCGCTTGTATCTAGGCCAGATTCGATTATTGAATGACCGCTGTCAAATAGCTAGAATTTGCTGCGAGACGAAACAACAAACAAAGAATTGTGCAATAGGTTAAATATGAGGCACCAGCATTAAGTATCTCTCGCCGTAATTATTGGAAGAGTACACAAATGTTCAAAAGTTGTCATTGTCTTTAGAGAGGCCCAGTTCAGAATACTGTTGGAATATGGCGGAAAGATTGTGTTTCTGGTAAGTACAATTGTATTCACATATGTCTATATTTTTTTAATGTCCGCCTGAGAGGATACGTAAGTCCCAAAAACATTCAGTAAATTTAAACTTGCCAAATTTTTAAAACTTAGCATTTTGGTAATTTTAAATTATGGCTAATCTGCCTACAATTTGCCAAAGGTTGAAGGGATGATGTAAATCCAGCTAGGGTCCTTGCAGGTAGCAAAGGTATTAGTCCTCATGGTCCCAAGTATGGTGATGTACCTTCAGTTGTTGGCGATCTGTAGCCTGTTTTTATATTGTATCGTCTTGTATACTTCAAATGTTTTAAATTTAATTACTAGTTTTAAAATTATATCTCTGATAAACTAGTTGTTTTACTGTCCTTCGTTGACAATTTCTTTTTTAATTTACCTATAATTATTAATAATATATAACTTGATATAGTCACGATATGGCTGAAATACTGCCGGTGTGACTTACTCACTTTTAAGAAATGCATTTACCACAACCTCTGATGTGAACGATTAATTTATCACTCAGAAAATGAGATGCCACCCAGAATTACCAAACTCAACTTTTAAAGACGTTTTTGGTCAGATATCGTAAGCAGGTGAAGGTGAGACAAGTGACCCCATGGATTTGCCTCGTAAACACATGATCGTTTTAAGGCAATGATAGCGTGTCATAGATTAGATTATTCTATGTAAAAACACCATCAATAAACGTGTAGCTCCACAAGATTATTATTATCAATTATAAATTTGTCATTTCCATGCAACAATCTCATTGTGGCTGAACAAATGATCAAAGGACAATGTCCGTGATTTGCTGATGTAAGCAAAGTTGGAGGGACCATATATTTAGGACTGACCACAAGAGCCTGTCTCATCTAACAAATGACACAGCAAACGAGCTTCGCGAAGTGTAAACCAGGGGGAGAGATGCACGTCTTCATCTTCCTTGTGCTGATCTTCACAGGTAAGTGTCCATGTCATGTTCTGTCATGTTTGAATCTTTGCTCTGGCAGGACTTTGTACTGTCATCAATACAAAGAACATAAATATGTTCATCAAATGCAATACGATATAATGAAATGGAGAATATGAAATCACCATTACCTGATGATGACACGGCTCCCGCAGTCTGAAACTTTCAGACAAAAACATTTCATGGAGGTGAGTGCATAGTCAAATTTTTAGTGCATAGTCAAAAGAAAGTAAACATGCACCATATTAAAACATAATTGAAATATTGGCTTCAAATTAACAAACACTCGTGTTGGTCACATTAAAAATCGGATTCGAGAACATTGAAATACATCAGGTGTCTATGCTAGTGGAAACACTCATGGTACGTTTTAGGTTGATTTGAGGTTCCAGATGCATTTGCCTGGTGGTTTCTGAGGAGCTGCTGCTCTAAAGGAAATTCTATGGTGACATCATAGTCAATGAGACCCGTGAATATCCGCGTTAGAGTTGGTGTTCAACAACTCATGCTTGTTGTAAGAGGCGACTATCGGGATTGGTTGGTGAGCATCTCTGATTTGGTTGACACATGTCATCGTATCCCAATTGTGTAGATCGATGCTCATGATGTTGATCACTGCATTGTTTTGTTCAGACTTGACTATTTACAGATCGCCACCATATAGCTGGAATATTGTCGAGTGAGAGGTAAAATAACACAATCAACCTGATACATGGGTACTACTAGTGAGTGAGTGAGTCTTGTCCGCTCGAATGCCCGTAATAGTCAGCGCTCACAACTGCAATGGCTGATGACTATTTACAGACCATATGGCTGGAATATTGCATAGTGCGGCGTTAAACAATTTATCAATCTAAATACAGAGTCGGAATGGAGAGGTCCATTCACGCTTGTAAACATACATTTCTGATTTCGTAGCTTATAATAGAAATCTTGTTTAATCGTAAATCTGACCCGTGAAGGTCCGGGTTAGAATGTGCCTTCAGTAACCCATGCTTATCTTAAGAGGCGACTAACGGAATCGGGTGGTCAGGCTCGCTGACTTGGTTGACACATGTCATCGAGTCGCAATTGCGCAGATCGATGCCCATGCTGTTGATCACTGGATTGTCCGGTCCAGACTCGATTATTTACAGACCGCCGCCATATAGCTGGAATATTGTTGAGTGCGGCGTAAAACTAAACTCACGCACTCACGCATTGATTGTAAAACCTTTTTACCAATCAGTAGATCAGACTGGTGATGTATTGTACACATATACATATCAAGATATATTCATTGGAGTACAGACTGATCCTTTGTTAGTTCGCTTTCATGTAGAGATTGTCAAAGTTACGAGTCACGGCGGTAGCATTTGATCCATAATGTGAGAACATGCAATGCTATTTTCTGATCTGAGAGTTTTTGTTGTCGTGCCTTCACAATAGTTATCAACAGTCTTTAAACAACAAAATATGTCCATTTGTGGATTTGACTTCCTATTGTCTCCCTCTCCTAAACCAGCCGAAACCGTCTGATTTGAAAGAAAACCTGCACCAATCAAACCAACCTGCTGGTACCGAAAGGTAGATGATCTTTTCGTCATCCTCCGACCTAACCATGATCCTATGCAGCTTCTCCCCTACCTCAACACCAAGACCACCACATGAAATTCACGCTTGAAACAGAGCAGAACAACTAATTACCTTTCCTTGACGTCCTTGACGTCCTTTACTTGCTCCAACCACCTTGAATCCCTGTGGACAGACAACCAAACAATAAAACATCCACTACCACTCCTGAAGTTAAGACTGGCACATCTCTACATTACGCAGAAGACGATCTGCTAGAGAAATCTACAAGAAGGAATAAACACCCGAAGGAAGTCTTTGTAGAACTAAACCACGATCCATCCCAGAAAGTCAATATCAACAGCTCTATCACCTTTAAACAAAAGACTAGAGTGATCCACCAATCAAGATCTACATTCCCTAAATGGGTTCACCACTGCACCAAATCAGCATTTTGCCGGACAAAAAACCAAGCAGGCATAGATATCACCTTAACCTCAATCCCCAGCCTCAACAAGCTTCTCCATACCAACGGGAGGAAACTATCACACTCAACTACCACACCCCGACATGTGTTATTTTGGAAATACAACTGTGGATGTGGACAGAGTAACATAGGTGGGCTGTTCACATCAGGCGAGAAAAGCCAACCATCAATAAATACTCGAATCCCCAGTCTCCAATCCCCAATCCGTTTCTAACTTCAAGTTGCCTAAATATCAACGATACTTCATCCCATCATGATGCACATTTGAGCTAAGCCCCATCAACTGTGTAAACATCTCCCCCTTTCAAAAGTATCCTCGATGATCTGGCTGCAGTCAACTTCCTAGCTCTTGCCTAGTTAATTATGTTGTGACTGTATTTTCTTTACATACTACATGTACATATATCCGCCACACAAATCTAAAATTCTCTATCGAAACGTTGCACAGTGTAATGAAGTTGTTATCCATAGTTTTGTCAGTGTTACTTCCCATCTTCTAAAATGGGACCTTGAGAAGAAAGCTATGGAGCAGAGCAACATTGAGACCTGTACAAAGGATTTGATTTTGATTTAAACATATTTCTTCAAGAGAATGGATTGGGTACAAGTTATTCCAACTTAATAAAACCCTCTCCTATTTACCGTGCTTACATGCAAAAAAAGTGCAACAAACTATAGAAATATTGATAGAAAGAAGAATAAGACATTTAAAATAAAGTAATACATTAAATACATGAATTAGTTAGATCATAAATTGGACCAATTACTGAACCTTTTGGAGTTTAATATATATTTTTGAACATTTGCACAAAGGACTGGACCCAGACGCTAAAACAGTTCAATAAAGATCAATCACGGATATGTTGTGCATCAGAAAATGTGCAATATCTTGGTGTCTACCTGGAAAGAGCCCTTAGCATGGAGATGCATGTGAATGATCTCTGTAGGAGATTCACTACCATCACAGAATACTGATAGCATCATACAAGATGCTGCAAATACACTCGTGTGCTTGTTGTCCTTGCAAACAGTCGTCTGGTGGAAACCTTTTTCATCATCAAATCTTGATTAAGTATGAAGGCCACAGGAAACAATTTCCCGAAAAGTTTTATGTCAAATATCTAGTTATTGCTAAAAACGGCGTAAAACTAAACTCACTAACTCACTCACCCTTCAGATTTACTGCTACGCAAGGTAAAGGCCAGGCAAATGAAAAGTCCTCACATTCAATTAGGATAATAAGGAGAGATCATAACAGCGGCACAATTATAATAATACAAATTAAGAATCGGATGGTGACTGTGTTGATACGTCTTCGTGATTTATTGGCGTGTATCATGCACAGTGTATTGTGTGTGAGTACAAACGCACCGTGGCTTCGTCGGGCCATACACACTTGCAATATCATACACAAGTTAGAGTACGTAAACTTACAGGGGCTTTTGAAGACTGAACATGGCTTGAATACATTAATAGCAGATTGATAGTTAGTTGATGGTAGTTCACAACGTCCGTTATTGTCACGCTTTCGAGACGATAGCGCCCATTGTCAACAAACATACTCAATTTGAGATACTTATCCACATACCCACACTTTCAGCATGCATGCGCAATCTGAGAGACTGATTCAGATGACAACAGTCACTGATGAAAGGGTCAGGTCCTTGCTTTCAAATCACAGTTGATGATTTGCGTCATATTTCTGTGTGTGGTTTGACCAGCCGTTTAACCCACTCAGCTTGAACATCGCTTTCGGCCGTGGGAGCCGTGCCAATTGACACATATCAGATGGGGTAGACACAGTCCAACGTTTGGACTACCAGTTGTCCGACTTCCAACTTTCTGACTGGTTAGACGGCTGACTTTGTGTGCTAGTGATTAGGTACCTGACTCTGAGGAAGTTGGTTCGAATCCCGGATGGGACTCAATCCAACAAAAGTAGCTAGAACCTGTACTTAACGGAGAAAGAGTAATGCCAAATATAACAAGTGTTACATTTGACCATTTTCTAAATGCGATTGTGTATTCACAGAACCTGAATGTTTACAGAGCAGCAGTTTCTGTCCAGCAAATGTAATGTCAAGCTGGTTGGGCCCTGGTGTGTTAACAGAAGACAGAACCTTAAGGGTTAACACAGCCAGATTGGTCCATGAGCCACTGGCTTTAATCATGGGACTTAATCATGTGACTTCATCGTTGAACTATTTGCAATATAATGTGAATTGGTAAACCCTTTTCTTCCATCGTCTGTTATACATTCATGTTTTCCATTCAGAGTGAATGTGTGATCAGCCTGCTTATTTTGCCATCAGGTCCCGTGAGGGTCAAATTGTTGTCCAAACGAAACTCCTGTGCCTTGGTGCCAGAGTCCTTTCCTCTGATGCCACAGACTGACTGACTGACTGAGTTTGGTTTTACGCCGCTTTTAGCAATATTCCAGCAACATCACGGCGAGGGAAACCAGAAATGGGCTTCACACATTGTACCCATGTGGGGATTCGAACCCGGGTCTTCGGCGTGACGAGCCAACGCTTTAACCATTAGGCTACCCCACCGCCCCTCTGATGCCACAGAAGCACAACCAACGGCAACGTATATGCCTAATACGACAAGCAATTTGGTGCTGAGGAAACATTCGGACCATGTGTTCCCATGTGTTGTTTTCACTTGTTCCTTGTGATCAGGTCAATATATAACTTGTATATGCATGTATTTGTGTATTTGACAAGGGTGTTAGCTGTAGGTGGTGGAGGATATTCTAATCTCTTGCCGAACACCTGGTATCATAGCCAATTGATAGTGATTTATTAGCACATTCTGCAGTGAGAATATAATTTCAAAATCGACATTTCTTTTACTCATGGAAATAGTATTGTCGTGCTCATTCTAAATGAACAAATACTAAGTGGGTTTTAGAAAAACTGATGTACCGAAGTAGGTTTGTAAGAAACCAATAACGGAACAGAACCATTGCTTCATACACATATTATCTCCGATTTCCTGTCCGGGTTGACATTTTGTATCTTACTTTACTGTTTACTAATCCTTTTACACATTCCTAATATTTTTTTCAGGTGATGGTATCCATGCTGACGTGTTTCAAACCTCAAGAATTGACACCACTGTAAAGCTGACAGAGGTGGATGGGGAGAAGGTTTTCACCTCGGATTCCCTGTTGTTTGACGTGAAGAGTTGCAGTGAAGTGCAGCTCCGCATTAACATGGAAGACGGCAGAGCAGGTATCGACATATATCCAAACAAGACATCCCATATGCATTACTGTGACTCCAGCTACAATAATTATTGCACTGAGGAGATGTTGGCTATGTCCGGGGACGCGTGTGTCGACTACACACCACTGTGGGTGACGATTTCATTTAGTGAAATCAAAATCGGTGAAGGTTGCGAAGTTGGAGAATTCGTTCTGTGGTCATACTCGTCTTTTTTGACCTTCTTATTGGACAGCATTGAAAGCATCGAAATCTCTTCAGTAGATAATGCATGGTGGCGACTTGGTAAGACTCTTGTTTCTCAAAGAAATTACCCAAGAAAAATCAAATTTCATAAAAGGCCAAACCAGTTATCCAGTTAAAATATATCCTGACGTACAACGTCAGTTATAGTAACTCTAGTGATGTGATGATTTAGGTAAATAGTAAAAAACATGGCTCTTCAAGAGTAGTGAGTTAGTGTATAAGTATAGTCTTACTGCACGAAGATCTATTGATAATAAATCAGAAAGTGAAAATAATATCTTCGTATTATCAATAATCAAACACAACATTAGTCCTTGTTTAAATTTGAAGACTTGTTTGCCTCAATATGCTGTTTAATGACAGGAAAATCTTCATGTCAACCTGTGACCACACCAGCTACTACCACAACGTTGACAACGCTCCCTGCAACAACGCCTGCTACGGCACCCGAAGCGACACCCGAAGCGACACAAGAAGCGACATCTGAATCACCAGGATCCTTGACAAGTGAAGCAAAGATGAATGAAACAATGCTTCAGAACGTGGACATGAGACGATCTGCCGGAGCCGTCAGCAGCAGCTCCATCACTGGGATGACCATCGTTGTAACGTATGTATCCCTTGCATAATGAGTGAGGACGCCGTAACCATTTACATTGATTTTATGGTCGACGTACTTTCTTGTCTAACCACGAACAAATCATATCACGGGAAAGAACTGGCGTCTGACGAGCGAACGCTTTAACCACACGGCTACCCCACCGACCCATGTTGTATAGGAAACAGTTGGGTCACTATTATTTTAATAATGAATTAATTTTATATATTTTATACATACTATACTATGCCACAATATAGATTTACCCATATTCCTTTTCAGGTTGATATCCTGTTTAAAGTACTAAGGAAATACGCAACTCTGGCATACCGACTTGTAAACACATTCTGTTATTTTTCCTGAATTAAAATGTGCCATCAAGAAACTGCGTAGAGTTGTTGTTAGAGAATCTAAAACGTAATAGGGATTCGAAGCCTGGCAACTCACGAATTGGGTCTGATATCTGAGCGAATGCGTGCGTGCGTGAGTGCATGTAGCCACATGCAGGCCCAGGAATAAATAAATAGAAAGCTTTACGTACACGTAACTGTGACGATGTATGAGGCTGGAGGACCTTGTTACAAAAGAATCCCAACGACAAACTTCTTTCTGAAATTAAATACTTGAGTGCACATGTGCTCTGAACACTGGGGTGGTATAAAAAGAATTCAATTGCAATGACTGTTGTTGACTGAAAAATCTGAGGTCGGTTCCATTTGAAACAGCCTTTCATTACCCGCCTTACCTGTCTTTATAAGCAGAATTAATACGGCTATTTACCCCAAAACGCTTCATATGAACATAAGATACTATATAAGGTATCTGTTGTACCAAGAGCTCGGACAAAATGGGGTTGAGGAAGTGAGGCAATCTGATTGTGTCGTCATACCTGACTGTCATGGACAGATGCTCATCCATTTGTCTGGTCATGGTATCTGTGACGGATATCAGATTATGTCGTCATACCCGACGGTCATGGATAGATGCTCACGTGTGCGTTTCTCTGGTCTGTTGTCATGGTAACTGTGACAGGTATCAGATTGTGTCGTCATACCCGACGGTCATGGATAGATGCTCCCGCGTTTGTCTAGTCTATTGTCACGGTGACTGTGACGGGTATCAGATTGTGTCGTCATAGGTGACTGGCATGGATAGATGTTCATGTGTTGTCTGGTCTGTTGTCATGGTGACTGTGACGGGTATCAAATTGTGTCGTCATACCTGACTGTCATGGACAGATGCTCATGCGTTTGTCTGGTCTGTTGTAAAGCACATTCATTCATTAATTCAGCTTGTGTCGTCATACGTGACTGTCATGGATAGATGTTCATGCGTTTGTCTGGTCTGTTGTCATGGTGACTGTGACGGATATCAGATTATGTCGTCATACCTGACTGTCATATACTGATGCTCATTCCCTTTGTCTGGTCGGTTGTCATTGTGGCTGTGACGGGTGTCAGATTGTGTCATCATACGTGACTGTCATGGACAAATGCTCATGCGTTTGTCTGGTCCGCCGCCATAGTGACTGTGACGGGTATCAGATTGTGTCGTCATACCAGACTGTCATGGACAGTTGCTTATGCGTTTGTCTGTTCCGCCGCCATAGTGACTGTGACGGGTATCAGATTGTGTCGTCATACCTGACTGTCATGGACAGTTGCTTATGCGTTTGTCTGGTCCGCCGTCATGGTGACGGTGACGGGTATCAGATTGTGTCGTCATACGTGACTGTCATGCAAAGATGCTCATGCGTTTGTCTGGTCTGTTGTCATGGTGACTATGACGGGTATCAGATTGCACCGTCATAGGTGACTGGCATGGATAGATGTTCATGCGTTTGTCTGGTCTGTTGTCATGGTGACTGTGACGGGTATCAGATTATGTCGTCATACCTGACTGTCATGGACAGTTGCTTATGCGTTTGTCTGGTGACCATCTTTTCTACACTATCCTTGGACGGCTTTAACTATTTGACCAAAAATAACTACTGTAAATTCGGATTCAGACCCTTTATTATTATTTTCATTTGGAACTTGTATTGTGATTTAGAATGAATGTATGTTTCATGCAACATATACTGAAAGCCATTAAAAACGCAATTGGTATTTGTTGTCCTGAAACTTACAAAAGTTCTATTGAAGATTTTTTCCTGCGATACAGAGGATGTAGGGATAAAATGCTGTTATTCTGGCCCATTTCGAGTTCGAGTCCCGGAGCATTCCTCTCACATGAACTTTGATACTTAAAACTGAACCTTTGACATTTCTCGTAAACACAACCACATTCATGAAACACGTTGTGCACATGCATTACCTGCACCCAGGCCTTGTAAAAGGACGAGGAATTGTGGAACTCAATCACTTTGAGAAAATGCCACACTTGACACAAGATGAAAGGAATCAGGTTATCGGTATGGTCAGCCAAGGTGCTTCAGATGTGATGATTGCCAGGCACTTTAATGTGCATCCAACCACTGTTAGTCGACTCAGACAACGTTTTCGGGCTACCGGAAGTGTTGCTGATCGTCCGCGACCTGGTGCACCACCTGTGATAACAGCTCGACAAAACCGCAATATACGGGTTTCACACTTGCGAGATCAGTTCCAAACAGCTGATGATTAGGCAAGGGGGACGATTGGGACAGGTCAACGGCATTTCAGCGCACAAAAGGTGCAAGGACGTCTTGCTGCCTTCAACTTCCGGTGTCGTCACCCGTACCGTGGTCCAACCTTATTGCATCGCCACAGACTTGCCAGACAGCGATGGGCAGCAAATGGGGCCAATCTTGGCAACAGGACATGGCCAAATGTCATTTTTTCAGATGAATCCAGGTTTAACTTATCCTTTGCAGATGGACGTCAACAGAGTTATCGACGTAAAGGAGAAAGACTTGCACCAAACTGTGTCCTTGAACATGATCGTTTTGGAGGGGGTGGTGTCATGATCAGACCACAGACCATCAGAGGCTGCAGACCATCCAACAGCTGAGAAATGTGTGTCTTTCAATGCCCCAACGACTGCGAGCATGTCTTGCAGCGCACGGTGGACACACACGATATTGACTGCAAGTGACCCCTTTTGTGCGATGTCGTTGTTGCGTCGCTGATGTTGTTGACTGGACATTTTCAGATGAAATTTTTCACAGATGTTCACTTAAAACATATCTACCAGTTAGGTTTATATATGTTGAAATTAGTGTGAGTAAAGAAAGTATGAATGTCAAATTGCATTTTTAATCGCTTTCAGTATATATTATTTCAGTAGCTTTATAGTGATGAGTTCCACCCGTGATTCAAAGCGACACCAACAGAGCGAGGCACCTTATCGCCACCACTTTATTTATCATACTTAATTAGAATGCTTGGTTATGGTTCATGGGTTGGCAAAAACATCACGAAAGTTGTATTGAAGAGAGGCAGTTTTTTGTTTATTCCTTCCTCCTTAACACGTTTTGCATACAAAAATCAAAAAGTATATATGTAGGAAACTGATATCATGCTCGGTGGTGTGTATGTGATTATGCCAGAGCACCCTTAATGAATACACGGATACACTTTTGTTTTTTGTACTCATTTAACCATTACTTATGAAAGACTTGTGGTTATTCTTAAGCGGAACACCAAATTCATTCTTAAAATACTTGTGGTCAATTAATACCGAGCGATTAAAAGTTGCCCAAACGTCGTCTGCTTTCTCTCTCCCGCCAACGAAACCACAGACAGGTTAGGTAACTCTGTCGCCAGTTGTATATAAAGTGTGTAACAAGTTCGTCATTTTGCTGATTTCTTGACGTCAACGAATACATGCCGATTCGTTGCGTTGCCGTCAATTTCTCCCAGAGGTCGGGTGGTGGTGTCACCATGCATAGATTTCCATTTCAGCTCTGTAGTATATAATAAATCGGATGGCTCGACCCCTACCTTGCTTCCAAGATAGAAAATGCTATTTAGATTTGTTTTCATCGAGTTAAAAAGTCAAAACTACCTACTAGTTGTAGGAGTTTGCACAAACTTGTAACACGACGATTTCTTCCTCGGAAGCGAAGTTGTGGTCGAAGTGACAATAATATTGTAGGTAGTATTATATTGACACCCGCCTAGCTTCCACGAGAGAAATTGTTATGTTATAAACTATGTCATGCAAAACCCTATTGACCATCAATCAAAATCATATTTTACTACCGGTAGGAAGTAGATTGATTTTGTAACTCGGTAAAAACAAACCTAAATATCATTTATTCTCAGACTGGCGGATATTCGTGACAGGACGCCGCCATTTTTAGACGTCACGGGTTAAAGTCTGTTCGAGAATCAATGAGATTATTGTTTGATTTCAATAAGTTAGAAAATCAAAACTACTTTTTACTCGTATTTAAATATGTATTTGAATCATGGTCAAAAGGAATTTGCATGGCACAACTTGTAGCATAACGATTCCTTCCACGAAGTGACAATATTGCGCGATAAATTTCTTGCTACATTCGGGTGGTTAACGTTCACTCACCAGTATGTAGATACTAGTCGATCTTCTTCTTGTAACCGTGATGAGTGAGGCTGATCATTGTTTTTACTATCGCAAGTGTCTGGCTTGAACAAATAAGGCCTAGTGATTGTTTCTTCATTGGTATCCGAGAAACAGTCACTGCTTGTGGACTGGCAATTGTAAATAATCGAGTCTGGACCAGACAATCCAGTGATCAACAGCGTGATCATCGATCTGCGCAATTTGGTACCGATGACTAGTGTCAACCAAGTCAGCGAGCCTGACCACCTAATCCCGTTAGTCGCCTCTTACTACAAGCATGGGTTACTAAAGGCCAATATTCTAACCCGGACCTTCATGGGTTTCTAAACAAGATAATTTACCCCCGGAAATGTACATGAATTCTACAGTACCCCTCATATGTATACCTCACATTTCGTCACGGAGACCAATTGCGCAGATCGATGCTCATGCTATTGATCACTGGATTGTCTGGTTCCAGATTCGAGATTTTACAACCCGCCGTCATATAGCTGGAATATTGCTGAGTGCGGCGTAAAACTAAACTCACTCACCCACCAGTCACGTTGAAATTTCGTTCGCGGGAGAAATTGTGCACTGTTGTTAAAAATGTGTGTTTCAGTTAACTAAATATCGAAAAGAGTAGTTTTAATGACGGGGTTTCATTTATAACGATGCCAATATATGGATTTGTACCCCCGAGAGTATATGTTGTCTTTAACACCGACATAAAAGAAAATATTATATTTTAGGGACACAATAACAATGCCATTACCATATGCTGGCTCACAGGTGTCTGTACATAGAACTAAGTTCCAAAGCTTTCAATGTAAATTTAAACCTACTATTATTTTTCTTCTTCAATTAAAA